AAAGTCCCACCCCCGCCCCCACCCCACTGGTGCTTGTAATGTCAGCCGAGATGGAGAGCCACCACTGCAGAGCGGCTGACACGGCCGAACGGGGCGAGCGGTGTCGGCCTTGACCGGTCTTTAGAGAGGCGAGTTGCCCAAGGCTCTGTACAATGCGGCGACTGTCTGTTGCGGCCTCGCTAGTGTGTCACGGGAGACTGCATCAATGCCCGTTGTCTGAGCCTCCTTTTGTGACCACTCGCCAGGGCTTACGCGTCGGCTCAGGAGTCCGGCGGGTTTGTGAAGCCTTCTTCTTGTCGCCTTTCGTTTCTCTTCTCACGCTGGTTATTACCGTCCCCTGTATGCGTGAGCTGTCCACGTACAAAGATGGCCACCCTCGATGTGGTCACGCAGCCCGTCACCCCAGGACAGCAGCAGGGTCCCAGTCGACTCCCCATGGATGTGGTTCTCTTCTCCTCCTTCTCCCCTCTCACCCTTGCTTCTCTGTCTCGCCCCCCCACCCCCCTTTCTCCCGGCCCGGCCTCATCACAGTCTTCAAAGTCTTTTCCTTTGGCCTGAAAGCCATTTTCTCCTGTATCATAATGGCGTCATGCAGATTGAGCTTTATGACCTGGACTAAGGTTGCCGAGCACTGCAGTGTGGTGACGTTTACAGACCAGTGAAACTGCGAGACGCAGGCTCATAGATCGCAGGCTCGCAGCTGTGCTGCGGCTGTTCGAGTCCACTGCGGTTGCCCCGAGCTGAGGAGCTTCCTCTTTGTTCCTGACCCGCTACGAAGCATGAAGTCCTTATATATCGGTCAGATAGCTATACACATATCTAGAAAGTGTCCAAGTCCGGGGTCCTGGCTAGCTTTGGGAAAAAGGGATGAAGCCTGGATTTGGGGATGGGCTTCAGGACATTCCATTTATTTCTGGGCTTCTGATAGATATAAAATAAAATACACACAAATATTATCTATATTATAAAATACACACAAATATTACATCTCTCTATCTATCTTTGGGAAAGAAGGATGAGGTTCCTACAGACAGAGCAGTGACAGGTGCCATTGCATCTTCATCTAAACGAAAAGTACGAATCCCAAAGTAGGACAGGTTCCCACCAGGGCCTTTGTCCTGGCAGCAGGGGTGCCCACAGCCCAGCCCGCAACACAGGCTCCCACTGGTCCCGCTGGCCTGAGTCGGCTGACACGCTGACTGTGCTTCCCTGGGGAGGCGGCTGCCTCTCCCTCCTGGGGTGCAGGAACTGGCTGGCGGCCGGAGGCTGGGGGCCAGGCTGAGGACAAGCCCTCTGGCTCAGCTTGCACCCCAGCGAGGCCAAATTCTCCCTGCCTTTGCTCCCCTCCCACTCACAGTTAGAAAATCTTCCCCAGTGGAAGGACCGCCTGCTGACAGTTCGCGTGACCCGACCCGCTGTTCCCCGGCTGGGCCTTTCTCCTTCCTCAGTCTCAGCTTCCTTAGTCTAACCTGGACGCTACCAGGACTCCCGGCTGGAGAGCTGGAGCTCGTTAGGGAAGCCTACAGCCTTCCCTAAGGCCCGCCTCCCGGCAGCACGGCCCACGGCTCCTGGACTAGCACTGGGCTCTTGTCATGTCAGACAAATCACCAAGACTGGCGAGATGTTTCTCAAGGGGTGGGTCCCCTATGCTTAAGTTAACTAGGAAATGCCAGCATCCATTGCTTATAATAAGCATAAGCATCGTTTTGTAAGATTGATCTGAGCTGGGTATGCACGCACGCACGCACGCACTGCAGAGTAATGTATGTGTTCATGGGTATTGAGCTAAAAGATTAAAAACTTCTGGCTGAAATAAATCGTTTGGAGTGAAATTGATTGTGGGAAGTCAAACAGAATGATCGTTCTAACAGAGCCAGCTGCGAACATATCCATTCTGAGCTGATGTGTTCCCTGAATTCTGTTCCCCACTGCAAGCCCAAGTAGGCCTGGTTCCGCACGACACTCCACCACGGCACCCGCAAAGCTCTCGTTGCCATTGCCGCCTTCTCAGTGCCCCTCCTTACTAGAGCATATGTGTGGGGAGTCCAGGGACCATGCCTTGTCTTGATGGCTGCCTCCACATTACAATGCCCTCAAATAACACGGGTTGGAGAGGGTGTGGGGAAAGTGGATCCCTTGTGGTTGTGTAGTGGTTATGGATCGGCAGTTCAAAACCCCCAGCAGCTCTGGAGGAGAAAGATGAGGCTTTCTCGTCCCATAAAGAGTTACAGTCTCAGAAATGCACAGGGGCAGTTCGATCCTGTCCTATGGGGTCGCTGTGAGTCAGCATCAACTCGATGGCAGCGATTTGATTTGGGTTTTATACACGGCTGGTGGGAAGGCAAAATGGTACCACTGTTGTGGAAGATAGTGTGGCAGTTTCTTTAAACACTTAAAATAAACCTAACATAGGACCCAGAAATGGTATGTTCTAGAAGATTGAAAACAGAGTCTCAAAAAGAGCCCCGGGCACCCATGTTCCCTGCAGCACCAGCCACAGTGGCCAAGGCTGGAGATAGCCTGATGCCCATCAAGAGATGAATGGGTGCGCCAACGGGAGAGACATACTCACAAGGAAGTTCTGCTCCACCGCAGGAGAAATGCCGTCGGGACACATGCCACCGTGTGGATGGCGCTCGAAGACTGCTGAGTGAGTCAGGCATGGCCTCACTTACATCAGCAGGCAGATTAAGGGGGACAGAATTTATTGGTGGTTTCCAGGGGCAGAAAGGAGGAGGGAGGCACGGCAGTGATGGAAATGCCACGTTGACTCGGGCTATAGGTTCACTCCCAACGCTTGCAACTGCTGTCGGCCAATGGTTCATCTGTCAAAAGTGGAGTTGGTAAAAGTTGTGTGAGGGACACACTGGCAGCAATGGCCATAGCAGGGAAGAGCAGCTCGCGAGCCTGTTTGTGGACCAGCAAGCACCGTGTGGGGTTTGGTTCTTGGGTGTGGAGGTTGAGGGTCATGGTGTCATAGGGCATCCCAGCTCGTTAGCTGGGTCAGATGCTTCATGCTTCTGTTCTACCTGCTAGCTCCGTGCACAGTGCCTGGGGTCTGAAAACCACGCAGGTGTCTACCAAGCACAGCTCTGGCTCTCGATTCACCCGGAGGAACAGAGGAAGGAGAGTCGGGAACAGGAGGAGGATGTGGAGGCCAACTGTCTCCATGAGCAACTGCCTCCTTTGTTGTGAGACTAGAAAAATGGAGGGGCGCCCGGTGACCGTTCCTGAACGTTTTGAGCAAAGATATCACAGAAGAATCCTGATCAAAAGGGGGGAAATGCGGAGCAGAATGTCAAATTCTCAAGACTCCACACTTTCGGAAGCCCAGGAGGGTGGGTCACCCCCTAAAATTATTGCCCTCAGGTCACCCTTAAACCTCTAGCATTTTTTTTAATATGGGTTTTTGCTTTCCTGCTTGTGCCTTGCTTTTGCTTGCTTGTTTTGTATTTGTTTTTTCTTTCTTTTGGGGTGCGTGTGTTCCGTTTGTTTGGTTGCTGTTGGCTTATGGCTTTTATTAATGCAGTTGATATTATAGGGCTGTGATTTTTGTCATATTACAACCACCAAAGTAACCCTGAGATGTGCAGATGCCATGGACAAGCAGACAGAGGCTGGATCGCTACTTAACTCTAGGCCCAACCCAAGAACACTTAGCTCCAATAACATGGCCCTATTCAATACGCATGTTCATGAAAGGATCACTGAAGATAAGTGTGCTACAGTGTGGTGAAGAAAGTAGATGGTGCCCAGCTATCGATCAGAATGGTGTCTGAGGTCTTAAAGACTTGTATTCAAACAAGCAGCCAGCTAAGTGAGGAGTCAACTAAATACACATGGAAGAAGCAACTAGCTTGTGTGTTCCAGGGATGACAATTAAAAATTCAAATATGGTGAAGGGAAAAGTATCAGAAGTAAAATTATGAACACCCAATTTGTAGAAGGCCATGGAGGACAGTGGGAGCCCAAAACCCATCTTCAGAGTGTCTAGTCAGACCGAGCAGCTGGCAGATCCCCTCCAGCCACAGACGAGTCTTGGACAGCTTACTATCAGGCAGAGAGCCCTGCAATCTTGAACATGCTGGATCAAACTTGATACTTGGCCAGATGACCTCCCTATAGTCCCAACCAGAATTGGTTTGGGGTGCAAGTGTCTCTTACTTGTTCCACGACAGAAATTTCTTCCCTGTTTTTTTTTTAATGTTGACAGGGGTCTTTTCTTTCTGGCTCATTGTTTGTTTTTTGGTCTTCATATTATTATTATTTTATCCTCACCACCTTATTTAGATTTTGGTTTTTATTGTTTCTGTTGGGTTTTCCAGTGTGTGATGCGCAGGAGGAGTGATGTGCAGTGATAATAACAGAGACGGGGGTTGATGGGGGGTGTAGGGGTGGGAGACGAGTGATGGGGAGGGAAAGGGGATTTCAGGAGAAAACAATGAAGTCAGGAGGGGGAGGGAGCACTAGAACTGATTGTAATTGCACAACACATTTAAAAGGTGATTTAACCATGGGGGTTGGCAAATGTTCTAAGATTGATATGGTGTAATTCTCCTTGATATGATTGAATGATTCAATTGAACGATTCAATCACTGAATTGTATGACATGTAAATTAGGTGCCAATAAAACTGTTATTATAAAAACTCCAAACTTTATGTGCATATTATCCACTGTAATTCCTCAAAGGTGAGCAACTGTTTAGCTTAACTCATAGGAGAAGGTCTGCCTTGAGCACTGAGCTCTCTTAAGATCTACTTCTCTGGGAGAGAATTGGTAGCAGCAACTGGAAAGACCAGACAGGAAACTTCGTGGACAGTTCCTGGTCATGAGCGAGGAGCAAGGGGGGACATGGTCACAGGCCTCGAACAACACTGTCAATGTCGCTGGGGCGCACATAGCAGTCACTGACTGGGTGCACGCCTTGCTGTGTATACTCTTAACAACAACACCCAAATAAAACTTTTAAATAAGTTTAAAACAACAACAAGGCCGGGGACCGGTGAAGGATTTCAAGCTGAATAGATCTGGTTCCACTCCGGCCTTTGGCATCTGCTACCCAGGAACAGATGACGTCCCCTCTCCAAGCCTCGGCTTCCTTCTACTGAACTCAGAGAGAAGAGGAGTCACTCCCAAGGGCACCTGGGAACCTGTGTTCAACTATGCTACAAGCATTCCCTTCTCAGCTCCTAGTTTTGCAACCTGGTGGCTGGGGTCAG